TCTCAAATTGAGATACAACAGTCACTGCTATGCCTTTAGCACAGTAGTGATCCCATTTCCAAGTGGAGAGTGATTATTTTTGACATTTGGATAAAAGATGAGATATATCCGATAGTGAGAATATACAATAGCATAGAGGTAGTATTGCATATCATTCCTTTTGCATCATATGCTCCGGACTTCCTATATGCGGAGTAATCAATTACAGGATATAGAGAGACAAAAAAATATGTAAGACTCACCTCAATTTGTATCCGGCCCCACCCTTATATCCCACCTTTATATACTGTATGCAAACAAACAGGGCCTTAAGGTTTGTTTAACTAAGACACAAATGGGGAAACTATTAGAATTCTTGGTTGAATAATGTAAATTGATGTTTCATGCAAGAATCAACAGCAATGTCACAAAGTAGCCATTCCGTTGTTAGGGATTTGGACACTAAAATAATTAATTCACACAAATATATCAACAATTAAAATCATCATAAATCAAGAAATGTATAATTAATGAGAGGCACCTCAAATTGCAATCTAAAGTTGTATTGGTCAATTTTTTTTTTTTTTGGGTGCAAGTACTAAGAACAAAATATCACTGTAAAATACAACCGATAATCTCAGAGTATTTGCCATGTTGCTCAATTGATGACAGGCAAGGGGTGTCAAATCTTTCTCAAAATGTCCAAAAACATATATGAAAATATTGAGGGATCACATCATATATTAACATATTCATAGTGGGTGTTGGGTTTGTGATTTTGTGAGTTTTGTGTCTCGTTTTTGTGATTCTCTCTCTCTCACACCTTGTCCTCGTCCTATTGTCTGATTTTTTTTGTGTGTTTTCTTTATTGTGTCTGGTGTATTCGGGTTTATCTGTGTTCCTGCCTTCATGTCTTTATGGGCTGTTGATGTCACTGTGCGTGCGTATGGGTCTGGTCTTGAATATATTGCTTTGATTTTCTCATGCTTCATAGTTATGTGTTTTTCTATACCATGCTCACTTTGTTCATGATTGATCTTTTGCATTGTACATTGAGGATTTCATACCCTGTTTTTTTTAATTTGGTTATTGCACTAATGATTTGCTTTGTTTTGGTTTGGTGTGGTTTGGGTTTTTGGTTTGTTGGTTTGTTGGGTGTTATAGTGTCTTTTTCGTCATGTCTGCCCCTGCTCCTAAACGCCGAAAGGCCACCGTCTCTCGCCCTACCTATAACCCTGCTAGGTTTCAGTCGGCCGCTCAATCCAAGTCCTTTCACAAATCTTTTGTGACTCGCGCAGTTCATTTAGAACGGAATGTTCAACCTGATACATTTGAGTCCATCCAAATTCATCCTTTGTTCGACCCTCTAGGTGGTGACCTTGTTTTATTGTTTTCTGGGCGTCAGAATCTCGATTGCGTTCGAGAATTCTATTGTAATATGGAGGGTATTCGTGATTATGAGCCAGCTTTCACTACATGGGTTCGGTCAAAATCCATTTCCGTCACTCCTTCTTTGATTCGCCAACTTCTTTAGATTGAGCAAGTCTTTCCCCAATACTATCCTTTCCCTGTTCCTGATTGTCCTACTTGTGACTTTGATGATGTGGCTTTGGAACTGTGTGGTGTTGCCTGTCATTGGCCTAAAGGAGGTTTGATTAAACAGTATGAACTTTTTCCGGAGTTCAGACTGCTTAATCTGATTGTCTGTGCCAACATCATTGTCACTACACACTCATCCGAGGTCAAACAAGACCAAGGATTCATTTTGTCCTGTATTGCCGGTCACCGGTCTATTGATCTCGCCTCTCTTATTATCAGAAAGATGATCAGTGCTCATGGGCATAAAAAACTTGGCCTTCCCTACGGTTGCTTGGTCAACCGAATTTTGTCTGACCTTGGGACCCCTATCCTAGAAGATGATGAGTTTGCCTCTCCTTCTCGCCCTTTTACCAAGAAAACTGTGTCTCAAAGTCGGGCCCATATTAAGGGGGAGTCATCCCGGGTTGGTCCTTCTGCAGGAGTTGCTGCTGGTCTTGCTGAAGAGGCTGAGTTTGATGCCGCCGCAGCCGGTGATGATGATGAGGCTCCTGTTCCACCTAGCTCTTTTCCTGATCAGCTTCGGCACTTTGAGGAGGCTATGATCCGGAGGTTAGACTTTCTTGATGCTCGTTTTGATGCCTTTGATGGTCGTCTTGGTCAGCTGGAGCAGAATGCCGCTCACACTACTTCGCAGCTGGACCACATCATTTCCTTACTGACGCTTCAGCCGGCCCCTCCTCCACCTGGTGCTTGATTTCTTGCTTTCTTCATTCCCGGTCAAAAAAGGGGAGTGATGTGTGGGTCGTGGACCACGCGCCTAAGTGGATAAAGTTGAATGAATGAAGTCTTTCTCTAGTTGTGTGTTTTTCTGGTTTTAAAAAGAGTGTTTTATTTATTTGTTTTGAAATTTTTTATAGTGCGTGTGTGTAAGGAACAATGGTTAGAAAGGTTTTGTCCGGGAATTGACAAAGGGGGAGATTGTTAGGTCCCTATGTTGTCAAATCCGGAGACAAAACCTTGTGTTGATTCAAAATTTTTTTTTTTTCCCGCAGAACCAGAGCAGAGGGGAGGAGAGAGGAGCTCACTGGAGGGGAGGGGAGGGGAGCTCGCCGGATTTTGGGGTCCAGATTCGCCGTCGCAGGTCGTCGAGCTCGCCAGCCGTTCGATCGTCGCCCGATCTGCCGTCGCCTCCGCATCCGGCCCGCCTCCGCCTCCGCCTCCGCCTCCTCCTCCTCCTCCCCCGGTGATTATGGCCCCCTCCAGGCCGTTGCTCCCTCTTCTCCTCCCTTCCTCTCTCTCTCCTTCCTCTCCCCTCCCCCTCTCTCTCTCCCTCCCCTCCCCTCCCCTCCCTCTGGTTCTGTCTTCCAACGAGGAAGAAGAAAGAAAAAAAAAAAAAATCAAAAAAACCCCCAAAACGACGTCGTTTTGGGGGGCTGCTGGAACGGCCGCCGGGAAGGGCAGCCGAGAATCCGGACTCGTGAAGGAACCTTAGACCAGGGTTGAAGTTATTAGACTTTGCGAATATTGCTCATGTATCTGTGGCTATGACTAATATTATACTCTTTTTGGCGGTCAATTTGATTAAAAACAAAACACAGATTGATTCTATACCTGTATTACATAAAAACCCATGGTTATATTATAGTTTGTTTGTATCTTAATACATTTTTTTGTTCATGTTTTCACTGGTCAATCTTAATTAATGCATTTATCTCGTCTTTGTTGATTTATCTTCTTTATGCAAAAATTATGGTTCCTCACTATTTTAGTTACATTTTTTTTTTCACATTTAGTATTAGATAGAGAATGTAATCTTGAATTTTTTATTTTATTATTTGTTTTTTGTGTATATATATTTTATGAAATCGAATGTGTAATATCTCTAAAACTTAATATAAACCATAGTTTATAATATTTATTTTGCTATATAATGTGAACCCTCAAGTTGGTGTAAATCCCATCACATTATTTTTGCTACTAAATTTTTCTCACAAACAACAAATTCAGGGCCTCGTTTAGGAACATGCTATTTTAGTAATTTTTTGACTAAAATAGAGAATCTTTGACTTTTTGGTATAGGTTATAGACTTTTTGACTTTTTAAATAATTTTTTAACTTTTTAGCTAAAATATTAACTTGCCAAACGAGAGTCTCACAAATTTTGTAAGCAAACATGGAAACTGAAATTTCTCTACACAACTTAAAAAATGTTTCACTTTTCAATTTATTTTAATTTTTAAATTTTAAATTCAATTAGATTCTTCACAAGCTTATTTGTCAAAAGAAAACAATTCTATGTATACATATTGCATATACCACAATTTCTACTACATGATAATGTGTGTAGAATTGCCAACGAAAGGCATGACAGAGATAAAGAATTTGTATTACACTTAAATGAATAATAGTGAATAGTAGTAGAATTATTATTATTATTTTAATGATATTGTGTTTTATGTTACCTACATTTGTATAAATTTATCTGGGCATAGTATTTTTTTTTTCAGTTCTAGTAATAATTTAAATATAAAATTTAAAAGCATTGCATTATCATCTTTTTAATAGTCACTTTTAATTTTTTTTCCTCATTAATTTTAAGCATAAACTATTCCAAATACTCCATATATATATATAAACATTAATAGCATCCCTATGTTTCATTTAGATGGAGAAATATACTTTGGTAGCAAATTCAAATAAATGCCTCAAATTAATAATTATTGATATAAATTATAAGATTAATAACTTTTATATTAAAGTTTTGAATAAAGATGTAGGAACAAAATTTTTATATAGAATTTTTATACGAATGACATATGCTGGATAATTCTAGTTGTATACCACATAATAATCTCAGTGCACATTATTTATATCGTTCGAATATAAAATTTTGAATAAAGATCAAATATTCAAATATAAATTTGTGAACAAAAGGTAGTTTGTTCGAATATAAATAGTTGAACAAAATAAATATCTCAACAATTCATTTTTGCTCTGAGCATTTTACTTTTGTTCAAAAATTTATATCCAAACGATGCAAATGGTAAGATTTATTGGGGGTATGTGAATAGAATATTTTTCATTTCATACACAAAATTACAAGATTGCCCCTTCTACATTATTGTGAATATGTTTTTGGTATATAATCTGAATAAAGTTATACTCATAAATTGATATATCAATTAGTGCACTAACGGATGATGTGATATAATTTAAAAGGTTTTGAGTCTTTATAGTTTGTATAATGGGTGGGTTGTATAGTTTTAAAATAATAATATTATAATATATGATGGCACACTAATTGATATAATTTTGTTTTGTTTGTAAATTAATTTTATTTCTAAAATTTGAAAAGGAAATACATAAATGTGAATTTAGTATGCAAATGCAATGGTGAATAATAATTATCCAAACCAATGGGGATGTTGAGAAGGCAATGAGCTGCCATTCCCATTTTAAAGACTAACGCGGGATGCGGAGCCAATATTTAATTGTGGCTATGTAACGGACACAAACCCCTTCTCTCTCTCTCTCTCTCTGCAATCTCTTCCTTTCTCTCCCTCTTTCCCAATTCCAGATACTGAATTCAAGAGAGAAGAGAAAGAGGTTGAGACACAGAGAAAATCCCAATACCCATATCATCATCATCATTATCATAATCGTAATCAATCTTTAAGCATAAGCATCATCAACACACATCTCAAATCTGTCAATTTTAATATGACAAAGGCAAATCTATAGCCCCATTAAAGGCATTTCTTGATTCATATCTCTTAACTGTTTTGTGTTTCTTTGAAATGGGTTGTTTTCTAAATTTTGTTTTCTTGTTTCCGTTGTTTGGATTTGGATGCAGGAATTTGGATTTGGGAAAATTGGCTCTGCAGGATTTGATAAATTTTCTCTCCATTTTTTCCTAAAATGGAGGGATTATCTTCTGAAAATATTCATGGGCTTGTTTTGGCTATCTCCTCCAGCATTTTCATTGGGTCTAGCTTTATTATCAAGAAGAAAGGTCTTAAAAAATCTGGGGAAACTGGAACCAGAGCAAGTACAATTTCTTTTATCTTATTCCTTTTATTCTTTTGTTTGTTTCGAATTTAAATACATAGATTTGTATATACATTTACATATCTATAGGCTTCTGTGTATTCACACGCCAAATCAAAAACTTAAAAGTAGATACAGAAACATGTGTGTGCAGATGTGCTTGTTACTGTGTTATTGAACATGCATACATCAAATTGTGTGTGTAAAACCAATATTCATATTTGTGCATGTATGTGTTGTTAGGAACGGATACACCTAACCAGGGTTGTTGAGATACGAAACACAAATAGAAATGATCATGCATTTTTTTCCCTTTAAATTTTTAGTGGGCAAATGACGATCAAGAAAGATGCACACATTGAGATAGGATTATCATATTCAACATTTATGTATACACAATAAGGGTTTTGGTACAAATAGTTTTATACTTGTTTGGTTTACAATGTTATTAGAATATAATGTGGCAAAAACAAGGAAGTAAATAATAGAATTTAGGGAAGCCCAATGAAAACAAAGCTCCTAAAGCTCAATAGAAGTAGCAAACTATATATATATTTTTTAAAAACTTTTTGATGTTTAGTACAACAACCTATCCCAACTCTTTGGTTTTTCCTGTAATTTTTTTCCCCCAGGAAATGCTAAATGTTTTGGGGAAAAAGTTCATAGAAATGTGTGAAAATGTATAGAAATATGTGAGTTTTTAACTATTTTGGCATTGTCCCCACCCTAAGGACAGCATGACTGTTGTTAGCTAGCTTAGCATGACTCTTTCTTTTTAAATCTCTGTTATGTTGGAAATATACAAAACTCCTTCTCTATTCTTAAGGGGCATTCTATTAGTTAAAGTCAATTAGAGTACTTATTTTTGGAAATCCATGAAGACCAAATTTTTCTTTAGGGGGTTTTGGGGAGGGGTGGGCGGAGCTCACTTGGCCTTATGTTGGTTCATATCCTCTATGTCCATTTATTATTTTGTGCTCATTTGAGGTTGGATACCTAATTTGGGTTGACCTTTAAACATGTAGCAGTGGCTGTACCATTAGAATGAATCTTTACAATCGGTAAAACTGTTTTGTTGTTGTAACTGTGTCATCTTTTCGTTCAGGTTCAGGAGGACACTCATACTTGCGGGAACCTTTGTGGTGGGCTGGGTTTATAAGCAGTAAGTACTAATAAATTGTTCAATGTTTTTTTGAAAGATACTTTGCGTAATTGTTTTCAATTCAAGTGAATTTTTTGAATATTGAATGATCATCGAAAGATTGCACTATTTGGATTCGAATAAATTTGGTCTTTTCATTCTAGAAGATAGAAGATATGAATGTTATCTCTTACATTGTGAACAATGTAAATCTTACTTTACATTTGTCCAAACTTTTGATTGCATTGACAATATTGCTCATCTCTTGATGAAGGCCAATTTAATAATATTTTTCTTTTTCTTCTTCACCTTTTATATAACTTTTGAACAAAATGGTCCCTTCGTTCTAATAGGTAAGGTTAATCCATAGCGACTTGGGTGTCATGGGTTCAAACCACAAAAATAGTCTCTCTGCACATACAAGGTTGTGTACACCTGACCCTCCCCAGATTTGCAATGATGGGAGTCTCACACACTTTCAAGTCACGGGGTAACCACTTTGTGCACTATGCCAAAGGTTAGGTGTGTACCCAATCTTTTCCCTCCCAAACACATATTAATGTGTACTAATTGGGCATTGTTTTTACTCCATCTTTGTTTTCAACTGGCTGTTGTACAACTTTGAGCAAGCTTAGGACAACACATTGACAACTAGGGATTTACTCCCCACTAGTAGCAAGCCCAAGATTAATATAAGGCAGCAGAAAAATTGGACTTTTGAGGCTGAATTTAACTGATTTTTGTGGCTGAAAGATGGAAACAATACCGAGGATTTTAGGGTTTTTATGTAACAACTAGAAGGGTAGGGTTTCGAGAATAAAACGACAAGAATTTAGGGACTATTTTGGGTTTGTTCCTATAATACCTGTGAACAGTAAAATAGAGTTGTTTGGGTTCCTAATGTTTCAAGGACTAGAGGCCTGAGAAAGTAATTTAAAAAGCTTGTCTTTAATGGTGGAAAGGATGATAAATAGCTTTCGTGTTCAAGGGCGGAATGAACCATACTTGCCGAAGATGAAGATGATAGAGAGTGGGATAGCTAAATGTATAGCAATTGTTTTAATAGCGTCCTCAATGATTGGTCTCAAAATGATAATCCTAACCTAAAGTAATTTTGGCATGTTACAGTGCTGAATGATTTTAGTTAGGCCATCCTGTTCCAATGGTGAAAATATCATTTACTCTATAATGAAAATTATATTTGTGGGTCCCATCATGGAAGTGGTATAGAGAAAAAGATTTTCCAAATTTTAGCAATGCTATAATTTGACAAAAGAAATGATAGACGATTGAAAATAGTTTTTTTTTTTTTTAATTTTAATTTTGTAGAAATCTTAGCAATTTTTGATATTAGCAAATATTTTAGCACACCAATAGAGATGCTCTAAAAATAGACAGTGCTTGTATGTTATTTTCAAACTAAAAGTAATGACCAATTCTTAATGGGAACTAACAAGTAATTTATAACTTTAACGTGGCTTTAACTTGGCTTTAGCGTGATGTGCTCCTGTTCACCATTTTACCTTATGAAGTTCATTTTATTCATGAAATACTAAATTAAGACTTGTAAGAACAACTCACAAATTTACAGGAAAATGTGGAAAAATTAGCACACCTTAAAAACCACTTTGAAAGTCTTATGAAAGCGTGGCAAAAATCAGCTAATTGAGCATACTTGATTTGGACTCCAAGTGTAATGCCCAGGTTTTGGAGTAATGATTTAAATATATACAATTGTTTGGCCTGGCCACGTAGGCTATTAGAAAAGTGTTGAATAGTTAAATTTACTCCAAAAGTGTTGAAAAGTCAAATTCAATATTTGGTATAAAAATTATATTGAATGAATGGCGCCCATTTATTTAAAAAAAGGACACGTGATTGGAAAATGTGATTTTGGCTAAGAAGTACGGACACTTCTAAGAAAGTGACGTATCCGTGTTGGACACCGACACTCTTTGGACACTTCTCCGACACGTGTCTGACACTCTTCAAAATGTGTTCAACACTCTTCAAAACGTGTTCGACAGTCTTCAAAACGTATCCTATTTTTTAATATTTTAAAAAGACCCAGACACTATTTGGACACTTGGAGAACACGTGTGTGTATCTCTTATACACACGTGTCTATCAATTAGACACATGTGAAATTAATTATAAGTTTGAACAAAACAACTTAAGATACAATAATAAAACAAAAGTCATATAAATTTATAGGAATTAGTGTCATATTGCATTTTTTTATTATCTTTGAATGATGTATTCATATATATATATATATATATATCATATAATAAATATATAGGAGTATATATTTCATGCGTGTCCCCCATGTATCATGCTTTGCATTTTTTGAAAATTAACGTGTCGGCGTGTCTGTGTCGTGTTGCGTGCCTGTATCCATGCTTCTTAGGATTTTGGTCAAAATCAAGTCAAGGGTTTAAAGAAATTTCAGTGGCACGCCCGTAGTAAATCAGACCTTCAATCATATTGGCCCAACGTGTATATATATGCCTGTCAGCAGCATACAATCACTCCCACATCCAAGTATTCATAATGATAATTAATTAAAACTCACTTAGGATAATTATGCAAATCTCCAAGATATTACATGCCTACATATATATATCAAATTAAATTAATACAATCCCACAAGGTTATATAAGCAAATTTAAAAGGAAGGAGCCAACACATGTCCATACAAAAGGGTTTATAATCCTATAATGATATAATTCCCCATGGCACGAATACATTCAAAATTTTCACAAAAAGGAGCTCTCTTGTATCCTACATCATTTGTGGTCCATGTGGTACAGCTGGAACCTTTAGTAATAAAGGGGTGAGCACTAATATGCTGGTTCTGTAGGAAATGTCTAACAATCCTTTGTATTCCTATGGTTGGCATGTGTGAGTGAGCATGGACACAAAGTTCAATTATATGGTTCAAAACAACATTTTATATAGAAAAGATAAAATTACCACTTACTATCTTTGAAACCCGACCACTATTTTAAAGAAATAAATTAACTTCCTCATTTTCCCCAAACTCAATTCAATACAAGTTCATATTAAAACCACCATACTCAATCACACTATTCACACCCACCCAGGATTTGCATGCCTTCCTCGCACCTTGCCTTGGCATAGGTCGAGTCTTCCGGCTTTTCCCATTTATTTTTGCACAACCAGATGTTTAAGGGCACAGTTTTGTTAGGTAATGATTTGGAAGGTTTGTTGGGACTTTGTTGATAGTTTTTGGGATAATGCTGATATCCCAAATATGAAATTCATTTACGTGGTTAGGATTTAGTTTTGCCTTGTGTGTACCACTGTAGTCATATGTTTCACTAATTATGCTTTCTAAGTTTCAGTTAGATACCAGGGTCGTTGGTTTGGTTCTATAAATATAACTGCAGTGATTCTCATTTTGAATATCTGAATGAGGTTGTTCGGCTCTCTTCTTTTTGAGAGTCATTTATATTGGAGTTTTATGTCATATCATGATTAATTATCCTTCTTGGTTACTGTTATATCCTTAATTATGAAAACTATTTTGGCGTTGTCTGTACTACGACAGAATTCTCTAGGTCTAATCTTACGTTATTTTTAAGCAAGCAGTGATGAATTTCCTCCCTTCGCTTCCAGTTTTCATCTTTCTAGCATTGTATGAAAATCCACTTTTCTAATATTGTATCTGTTTTAATGCTGAGTTTTTATGACTTGTAGTGATTATCGGGGAGATAGCTAATTTTGCTGCTTATGCATTTGCTCCCGCAATTCTCGTAACTCCTTTGGGAGCTTTAAGTATTATCGTCAGGTATGTCATCAGATAGAATTTAAATAGAAGATCCAAAGAGAATCCTTTTGTTGCATACAGCAGAAATAATATTTTTAATCTATACAACTTTCTATGCAGTGCACTGCTAGCCCATTTCATTTTGGAGGAGAATTTGCACATCTTCGGTATGGTTGGATGTGTTCTCTGTTTAGTGGGCTCTACCACTATTGTTTTACATGCTCCTCAGGAGAGAGAAATAAATTCTGTTAAGGAAGTGTGGCACCTAGCCACCGAGCCAGGTATCTAAGAAATGACAATGTAGTTGCCTGAATGGGAAAATATCAAAAAAATGTACTTATAAAGACAGATATCAAGACCATGGTAATATATATATATATATATATATATGTATAGATGAAAATGTAGAAAAAATATCAAAAAGATTTTTTTGTTTGCTCTCTCTCTCTCACTCTCTCCCTATTCTTCCAAACCCTAACCACCATTACCATCACCACCAATCGCTGCCACCACCATTCGCTAGCCGCTAGCAACCGCCACCCTCTTGAACCACCGTGACCCCATGACCAATCACAACCCATATCCATCGCCACCACTATCAACTACCCACCTCCACGCCACCCAAACTCGCAGATCTATATCAGATTTGTGGTTGTTTCGATCGCATAATGGTGGTTTCGTTGATCGATTTTGTTAATCATGCCAGTGTTATAGTGGAAGGGAGAGAGACTGGAGTGGTGATGGGTTGGTGAAGAGGGGGGTGGTGGTGATGGTTTTGGAGACAGGTGAAGGGCGAGAGGCTGGGGTGGTGATGGGTGGCGGTGGTTTGGGTTGGTTTTGGGGTGGTAATGGTGTGGTTAGGGCAGGTGGCCGGTGGTGGTTGTGACTGGGTGTGGTGACGATGGTGGTTAGGGTGCTTGGTGGTGGCGGCGATGGTGGTTGGGGTTGCTTGGTGGTGGTGATAATGGTGGTTAGGGTTTGAAAGAGGAGAGGAAGAGAGAGATGGCAAATAAATTTATTTTGCTAAACAAGGCACAATGTTTTTGACATTATTTTGCCAAATCCATCTCCATTGATGTTATTATTTTGTTTCCATCAAGTTGAAATTAGTTTGTAGAGTTTCCATTTATTGATATTTTTCCCTTACTTAATTGCCTGGTATATATCTTTACATTCTACTTTGTAATCCATACTCTTTGATGTAGGTTTTAAGAAACTTGGTCTTTATAATTTGCATAAAGTTGTCAACATTAATTTTTTTGTATGTATGTATATATATTCCTGATCTTAAAGTTATGTTTTGTACTCATTAAAATATGCACAGGCATAACTCTATCGTAGACTTTAGTTCCTTTACTACTGCTTATCTATATGTTCTAGATCAAATCAAGGCTGATGCCTAGGGGATCAAGTACCCAGAAGCTATGCCTTTCTCTTCTAGTTTAATGAACCCTTTATTTAAACCCCCAAATAGTAATATTTATATATCTATAATACTTTGACTAAAACATTTGTTTCAGATTTGTAAATTAAACTGAAATAGCGCATATGCCATTGGAAAAAAGATAATAGCTCTGAGACTAACGCATAAATGGTAGATATGATGGTGCTATTAAACAACTCAACTAGATGATTCTTAACAGATTTACAGTACACTATCATTGTATTATCTCTAATATGTCTCAGATACATATGAACCAAAATTAGGGCATCATAGGACATGTGGAGTACATCAATCTGAAATGTTAGCCTCACTTAATGGAACTATTCATACCTTCTTGTTTACACTATCCTTACATCTTTATATCTAAAGATGAAATTGTTTGACTGACAGACAGTTTTTGTTTTTCGGTATCAACAGGTTTCCTTGTCTACGCTGGCATAGTTTTTGTTGTCGTTCTTGTCCTCATTTTCCTATATGTGCCACGTTATGGGCGAACCCATATGATCGTTTACATTGGAATTTGCTCGCTTACAGGCTCTCTTATGGTTCGCACACTATCTTTATAATCTTTTATGCATCTAGACCATAGTTCTGCCCTCAGTAGTTCTTGTACACTAGTTTTTTCTTCTTTTATGTAGGTTATGACTGTGAAAGCTGTGGGAATTGCTTTGAAGCTCTCATTTTCAGGATCAAACCAATTTATCTACTTCGAAACATGGTTTTTCACTTTATTTCTGATTGTTTGTGGTATTTCGCAGGTGAACTATTTGAACAAGGTAATTGATGCTCACTGAAAAGCTTATACTATGGTAAATTATGATATTGCTTTGAAGTATATAACATAAAGTCAATGTTGTAGTGCTGACTAATATCATGCATGCATGCGTGCATGCTTGCGCACACACATGGACAGAGATCCAATTTGAAAGCCTTAAAACTTGAAGGCATGAGGAAAAGATGGATTGGAAGGACTGCCTATTTTTGAGTTTGATATGCTATAGAATCTTGAATGTAGGCTATTACAACTTTTGCTTGAATCGGGTTGGAAAGAGATTGAGAGAAGTGGAAGAATATTATTAGGAAGAGGGAACTGAAGGGATGGAAGATAATTGAGTGAGGTCATATTGGCAAAATTAATTTGGTTTCGTAAGCTTTGATAACTTCCTCCCAAAATATTTCATCATCACATTGTTACACAGTCTTGGGTAGAACTCACTCCAAAAGCTAACTATTAAGGTGACGGTGCCCTCACGCTTATGTGTTTAATATTACTTTAGTACTCAGGCGATGTGGGAGTTCGCTTCACACCCCCCCACATCCAATGTGCTCACTCGGCAGCACCTGCGGCTTGTAGGCTAGGGACATGCACCCTACCCATCCTTTAGTACTCCGGTTCTAATACCATGTTACACGGTCTTAGGTAGAACTCACCTATAAAGCTAGTTATTAAGGTGAGGGTGCCCTCATACTTGTAGGCTTAATATTATTTGAATACTCAAGGCGATGTGGGACTTCGCTTCACAACAACCATATTTAACGAAGCCATATTGAATGGGTTGGGTTTATGTTCAATTAGGTTTCCGTATACCTTACCCAAATTCTACCTGATTTGATATTTGGTAGAACTGCTTGCAGTGCATAAAGGTGGGAAACGCTGTTGGTAACTCTTTAGGTATCAATTCTTGGAAATCCACTGACTGTTGCTTAACTTCTTTTCAAATATTAGAATCCTCTTCTTATGGTCATTCACCATGCTTCTACCACCAGCATATATTTCATAATTGTTTCTTGTTTCTTCTCTTCAACTTGTTAAAAATATTTGTTGGATAATTTATGGAGGTCACCAACTCTTTGTCCTTATTGAGGTGGACTATGTCATGATTAAGCAATCACGACATTCTGATTAGTATTGAATATTCAATGGGAAAACTTGACCCTGCATTTCATCATAGTTCTTTCCGAAAGTGCACTAAGCATTGAACTTCATTAACAATTTATATATTGAGCATTGCTATACAAGTCCAAAAAATTAGACCCAATTTTCAAGCTCAATCAATTAGGATATCTAAGGTAACACTCTCTCTCATATCTTCTCAATCATCAACCAATCATATCAGTTACACATCATTGGGACTATGAGTCTAAAAAGTGGGCTTATGTATCATTTTCCTTATATATTTTAATTTCATATAAAATATTAGTGAATTTTGGTGCGTCTCGATTTTCCTAACCACAAATCTCTCTCCATTGGTTAGTAACATTTCCTCTTTTGCTGCTAGTGAGATAGTTGAAGTAGACGGCCAACTTTTGTTGACTCCTGATATCCTCGGTTGAGTCCACTGATGCTTTCTTACCCAGATCAGGTTATTATGGTAACTGCTTTCTGTACTTTGTTGAGCCCTTTGATCATCAAATAAGCTATCAAGAACTCCATACTTTTAAAGGTGTAATCATGCCCTTCGATCTCTTGCATTTCGCAGATATGTGATCCATGCAGTCATTATCTCATTTGAAGTAGATAAAACTTCTTCTTGAGCTATATGTCATGATCTCATTTTAAAGAGAAACATGAAAGATACAGGTCACAAGCTGCTTTTATTTCATGGAGGTCAACAAAAATTAGCTATCTTTAAAATTAAAGAACTCCACAGTCAAGATTTATTGTTTTAACCTTGAAACTGATGATACAGATCATCATGTAATTGGATGACACTTCTGTCTCAGTTTCATATTGTCCAATCTGCCAAATTTTGGCTTAGTTGGTAAGTTTGTTCCTTCTCAAAGCAGATCCATTCCACCACTAATGAGTTGTTCCACCTAACATAACCTTCATGAAGTGCACTTTGTCATTCGCGTATACAATTGCTTGTCTTGAAAAAAGATGATTGCTTGTACCCTACAGCTGAAGTTGCACGGCCCTATCCCCCCCTAATAAAGATAGTGACCGGCCAGTAGTCTTAGACTACCGAGGCCTAACCAAAACCAATTCCTATAATATTTGGGCTATAATCTATTTAAATAGCTGAAACATTCAATTTCCTTAACCTAATTATCTCACAACCATCTATTCAGAGCAAGTGCTTAAATAAATGAAATGAAACATTTAGTGTTCTTTATTGTACCTTCCAAGGCTCAAACACAAAAAGAGTGCATAATTTTACATAGTGAAGAACGACTTGTTTTTTCCAAAACTGAATATATACAAGTTTTCAAACTTCTTCTATCCTACAACTAGGCATACAAGTCGCCACATTTATATACTTACGCACTTAGCATGGAATCCCCGGTCATCAAGCCTCACCACTATTACATACATATATAGAAAAGGGTTGAGCTAAAACCCCCCAATGAATAGTGATATATCAAAGCCATTTGGAATAAACAAGGATATCTCTAAGCAATTTATCATAATTAAGGAGAAGCTTGTGGAAGGTTAACTTGTATTGGATAGATAACATGTCATAGGCATTTTCATTCTCAAAACAATGATCATGTCCATCTAGAGAATACTAAACTTAACTGGGTTGACTCCCGCTATGTCAAAACCACCACAAGTGGTAAGAGCTCTTCACAACAAAACTGTTAGTATATTTTTACATCCCCTAATAGTATTTGGGACCAAAATTGGAGATGGCATCTTTATACATTGAACTTGGCAAATATATGATATTTTTAAGTGATAAAACATTTATTATTCGAAGAACATAGCATGAGTTTAAGTTCCAAAGAATTTCTATCAAAAATAAACTAAGATATATCACCACTCATCACCTCCTCTCAAGAGTAGGTTAGTTCCACAAAGTAACTTGATGTAACTTGCTTTCTCATTGTATGTTCGCCCTCCTCTTCAATGTAACTTGTGAGTTTGTGTGTTCGCCCCGTTGTATTTTGTTGGGATTGTTAGCCCTCCTCTTCAATGTAACTTGCTTTCTCACAAATTCAAATAGTTGCAATGTCCTGCAAAGAATTCTATTATTGAATGTTCTCTTATCAATTTAGCCTAAAAGGTAGTTTATTCAATTATATATTTTGGCAAATGTGTAATCTTTTTTTTTTAATTTTTCATCTTTGCAGGCACTAGATACATTTAATACTGCTGTTGTTTCTCCTGTCTACTATGTCATGTTCACAACCCTCACCATCATAGCCAGCATGATCATGTTTAAGGTGATTCAACCCATATGTTTCTGGTTTCTTTGAATAGCTTTTCCTTTTTCCCATGTTTTATCAATATTGTTAATCTTAAATAGGGGGATTTTATATGGTCACACTTGCTGAGGTTTTGTTTGTTGACAGGAAACTTTGCATTTCTTTACAATATATTATCATCATCATATGCACAAACTTTTTTTTCTTTTTCTTTTTTCTCTTCTTCTATTCTATTAACCGGAAAACTTTGCTTTTCTCCAAAAAAATTATCATTGAGTTTCGACCTTGATCGTAACTGCACTTAAATACTTTTTTCTTTTCCCTCCACAAATCTTTACTCAAACCTTTGATCAGTCACAACCTAAATAGTTACCTTTGTCAGGAACTAAAATTCCAACTCCTTTTTAGGATTAACACCCCTGGATACCAGTGGAACTAAAGCTTCTTGAAACTTTTCATATTTGGTTGCTTAAGTTTCCATATTAGTTCACTGAATTTTATAAAGGGTAAATTACAAATACACCCTTGAGGTTTATGAAAAATGCAAATTATTCCCTCAAGTTTGAAAAATGACAAATAGTTCCTCATCAGAGTCTGTCTTAACATAACTACCAGAAAATGCAAAGGTGCCCTTTAATAGCAAAAGAAAAGTACCCTATTACCCTCATCTCATTCCTCCCCCAATCCCCCACCCATTGTCTGTGGCTACCACCGCCACCATATCAACGAGCCATTTCTATCCCATCATCACGCACCACATTTTCTGTGTAAAAATCCCTCAAAGGAAGTATGCCAAGATCCCCAAATTCAAGTCCCTAGCCATTTTTCACATTCTATTACCAATTTACCGTATAACCAACTTACAATATCATATTCTGTTCCTTGCAAATGTTTAATCAAAACCTAAATCACTGTACAAGTGTTTTTTCTCTCCACTCTTTCTGTGTCTTTGCGATTGATCACGGACAGCTTCACACTCTACTATTTATATTCCACCACCAATTTTCTCCCTTCTCTCGAATAACCTTACTCCTCCAATCTTGCCCTTCTCTCTCCATATCATTCTTGTACATTTCTCCTAAACCCGTTAATGTAGAACGGCGTAGGGGAAAAGAGAGAACCCACAAATTGGCCACATTCTAAACACTCACAATATTATAAATCAAACCCTCAAAAGTTTTAATACAAAGCCTAAAATTTATAGGCCAACAAATGTAATTGGTAATATTTATTATTTTACTATTATTTAGTTAGAAGTTAAATAACAAATAGTTTAGTTATTCTTTATTATGTTTTCAAATAGAATTAGGATTTGGTATCCTATTACGTTTTTGGTTATTTGGCCTATAAAAATTAGGCTTTGTAATATTGTGAGTGTCTGGATAAAAAATTATTCAGTTTTTTTTTTTGGAGATCTATAAAAAATTATTCAGATTTTGATTACTAATATTGTGAGTGTTTAGGCTATGGCCAATTTGTGTGTTCTCTCTCCTGTCTTCCCTACCCCCTTGTACATCACCGAGACTCCGCTTGATCTTCATCAAAATACCTACTTTTCAACTATCTCCTGAAACCTATCAAAACTCACAAACCAATCCAAGCCTCGGCCTCACCACCTAATTGACAGTGAACTCACCATCCACCACTAACACACAACCATCCTCATAATAACCCATACAAAGGTGGGTTGATGGTGTGGGTGGGCGGGTTTTACCAGTAGTGGTGGTTGATTGTCATTACCAGGAACAGTGCGAAGCAGTTGTGGCGGAGAGAAGTGTTGAAGAGGAGGTTGTTGTGGGTGTTGGGGGTGGATTGTGCAATGGTGGGGTGCTGGTGCAATCTAGGTCCAGTGAGAGAGAGTTACCTTCTACTATTTGAACATGAGCTCATAAGCTCATATAATGAGAGATCAGGTTTTGCTTAGCACACCTAATGCACAATAAGCTTTGTTAACATGGAGATTAGAGAAGTTTATAGCTTTCATTACTTTGGCACAAATGATGGGTGACAGAGAGAGGAAGAGGGGGAGAGTGAGACTAAAGGGCGATGAGAGAGAGACAGATGGGGTCATAAGGTTAATTTTGGAATTTTGAAAAAATTTGTTGATGCCATCACTACATTCGGTTAGGTCAATTAACGGTGGTGGACTAACGGAGTGGGGAAAGTCTAACGCAATTTAAAATCTTAGGAGGTGGGATCTATTTTTCAGAACATGAGCGAGTCAAATGTATTTTTCCTAAATCTTTGGATTGTATTAGTAATTTTCCCTTTTGTAAATGACTGTAAATTGTATATATTCTCTTGCATAGTATTTCCAAAGTACTTACTCATAAAATCATGTTTTCTATGTTTTTCTTCTCTGTGTCGAACTAATTTATCAAGGACAAACATAAAAAAAAAATATATATATATATATATATATATTGTGATTGTGTAGCATTCGCACTTCTCACTTCTCACTTCTCACTTCTCACTTCTCACTTCTCACTTCTTTCATTTTTTTCATGGTTAATGGATTTTATCTTAAGCTTACGGTTAGTTTTCTACCTTTCGTGGTTATGTATTCAGGAATGGGACGCTCAAAATGCAACACAGATAGCAACTGAACTATGCGGTTTTTTGACTATTCTCTGTGGGACATTTCTTCTTCACAAAACCAAGGATATGGGAGGAGGAAGTCCAAGTCAAATAGCCATGGCAAGCCCTGTATTTCACACAGTTCCGAGTGTGAACATGAACGGGGATGCAGACTCGAATTCAAGACCTACGCAAATTTGAAATGTTTAAACAATGATGTTGACATATCGTTGTCTTAGAAAGGGGAAAATTTGAAAATCTAAAGAAGCTCGTCACAATGTAAGAGGAGAAACCGTGTTCTCGACGATACAAGTTGGGTCAAAATGTAAAAAAGAAAGAGAAAATCATTTCATGGATTCTGATAAGTATAGGGATATGATTTGTGTTGAAAATGTACGTTCTGTTGTCTCACTTAGCAATGGGTTTTTTAATTTTTTGGTCTTTTCGTTAATACATTTTATAGTGTGAATATCTTGGAAATTGATCAGTAAATGTTATGGGGGGATTTCTTTTGAAAGAAACTACGGATGTGAATGAAGAAATCTATACAAGTATTCTATGTAAGTTGGAAGGGAAAGTTGGCATCTTTAACAATCTTGTTCAATCAACCTCATGGTGGATTTCTGACTCCATATCAATATTGATTGAAAATTTCTCAACAGTTGCATTCAATGTTAGGATTTGTGAAAGCAAAGCAATTCCATTCACTTTTAGTTATCTTTAATTTCCTTTTGTTTTAGAGCTTTTAACAAGGAACATTTAGCTTTATGTAACAAAGTGAGAGGCGTCACCATTGATTCTTTCCTATCTCTGAAATATTCAGCACTTTGCAGGTCCATATATGTACAACTTTTGATAATAATTGACCAAAAGCAAGTGTAGTTCACCAGTTCCACCGAATGTTCCTATCTTTCGGCAAAAGATAATATGAGTGTGCAGTTATGCTGCAGATGCTTCACCATAGAATAGATTGTATTTGTAGTTTGTCCCCTTCATCTTCTGTTGGATTTTAATACAAAAAGCTATGAGAAGAAATAGTTTTTGAATATTTAGACAATGACAGTTATCATATGATTTCATCTAATTAATTACAAGTAGAGGTGACAAATAAAAAGATTTAGATGGGTCAAAAAGATTTATGATATAGTAGATTGAACTCATGAGTTTTAAGGTTGCCATTGTTTTTTGAGAACATCGGAAATATTATATTAATAAAACAACAAGAGTACATAAACAAGACCTCAAAGGGTCATCCCAACCAAACAACAAAACAAAATACAAAAAACAAAAAGAAAATCCACAAAAAAAAAAAAAGTTACGATTTAGGAAAAACCATCGATCTGCTCAAAGATATGGTTTGGAAAACAAGATCTGATTGAAAGCTTGCCCTCCCCGTCAACGTTGTCCCTGTCGCTGCTGCCCATTGTGGATGCATGGGTCAACTTGGCTGTGTCCACTTCAATCTACATGTACAGTTTAAGATGGAATTTCACTCAAATTTGTTATTTTAAGTAGTGATTTTTGTTAATTTTAATTGTATTTATTATATTTTCTCAAATAATTTTATAAAATGCAATGATATTTACATTTCACTTCTATTTTATTACACTTTCTATTTTTCCTCTTTTATGTTAAAAATATTTTAGATCTTTAATTATGGCGATCAACTTGGTGTCTTCGAGAATCTCCAATGGAATGAATGATTGCCAAATTATTACTTTCAAATCATGTTACAACGTTGCTTTCCTAAGCCAATATTTGTTTGTCCCACCAGATGGTGTGTACCAGATTTACCATAAATTTGCTTTTATGATACAATAAAGCATGATCTAAAGATTTGTCTATTGGCATCTACATAAACAACATACTAGAATGCACTTGATATGATTAAGAGAACAAAGACAACTGATAATCAAGTTTGTGAAAAATGATTATATAAAAAAGAAGGAAAAAAAAAAAAAAAAAACTTGCTTTAGAATGCTTTTAATCAAAAAATCAAAATTGAGAGAGAGAGAGAGAATGGTTGAATGTAATATGAGTTTTGGACGGAATGAAATGGTTGGATTTGCAAACTATTTATTGTCACGCAAATTAGGACATCTAGATTTGAGGGTGCATATAACATTTATCCCACATAAGTGGAGGGGATATGTGGTTTTTATATAATTTAAGTTAGTTTATACACGTATTTTGGTTAGTTTAGTAGAATTTGAAATAGACTGAAAAACTTAATGTGTAAGATTTGATTACTTAATTGAATGAAACTATAATTCTTAAGACTATAATAAATAGCCATGGGGCTCTAGGTTTTGATGACGTTGAGAGTAGTGAGAAGAAAATAGCGATGTAAAGGGTGAGAGAAAAAATAATTTGAGGACACCGGGGTGAGCAAAGGCTTAACTACCCTTGAGTATAGGGTTCAGGTAGTGATGTGAGTTTTTTTTTGAATATTTTTACCATTCACATGTATAAAATCTCTCTCGTAAGAATGTAGGCAATTTCGGGTCAAACAATGTAAATCTTTGTGTGATTCTATTTTTGCTTTGGTGTGTGTGTGGGTGTGTTTTCATTTGTGTTTGGTGGGATGTGGAATAAATTCTAACATCGATAGGCCTAGATGAATTTAATCAGATGGCTTATGACTCTTTATCGCTCCAATTCAACTCAGATTAAAAGTTGGTTACTAGATTGGAATGTGTACAGTATGGATTGTACATTACACCAAATGGGTGTATGATTGGATGCACCTGATGACAATCGAGTGCGATTTGATCTGTCCGATTGCATGTATACTAGTTTAATGGCTGTGATCGCACCATTCCAAATTGGATACACAACTATTTGATTGGTTGGTTGACTCACCAAGTGATGTGCTATATCACTGTTATGCGAAGTTGACTGTACTCCATGTAACTACTGCCACAATGGATCTACATCATGTCATGTGTTATAGCGATCCCAGTTTTGACCCGACTCTGTGGTATTCCGGACTCGGGTTTAATGCTTTCATTTTGTTGTTTACTTCTTCCTTCATTTGTATCTCTTTGAAATTGGCCTTTGGATTATTGTGGTTGTGTTTGGAACAGGTTGGTTGCTTGTTTTTCCCAAACCTTGTTGTCCAGATTTTTGCTCATTCACTCGAGCTGCCATTCTTGCGCTCGAACGGGTTGTGTATATTTTGGTCCTCCGCTTGAGCGGCCTTTTTTCCGCTTGAGCAGGATGTGCAAACTCTCAGTACTTTGCACGTCTGCAAAAGTACTGAAGGGATGTTCTTTACGCTCGAGCGGTGTTTCCTACGCTCGAGCGGGTAGACTCTCGAGCGTCCTTCCTTGCGCTCGAGCGGAACCAAACTTTGTGTCTGATGCTCGAGCGTCAACTTCCCTGCTCTAGCAGACTGCGTGTATAGCAGATCGCGAAAAGCACTTTTTACATCACTTTGTCATATCTTTTCATCCTAAACCTTAAAGTTGAGAGCCTCTTTCTCTAAAATTTACCTTCTCTCTAGATTTCCACTTAGATCTAGTGATCTATCCACCCTACTTCCTTTGATAAAAGGTAGAGCTTCTCAAGATCTTCATTTTGAATTGATTGAAGTTGGATTTTGACATTTTTGAAGTTCCATCCTTGGTTGGCTCATCTTCTCTTTTTAAGGTAGGGATTTTCTACACTTTGTTATGAGTTTTAGCTTAGTTATTTGTGATTGTGTAACAATGGTGGTATTTGGGAGTAATTTAAGCAAACCTAGGGTTTGGGTGAAATGTAAAAGAGGGGTTTTTGGTGGAAATGAAATAAATGAACATGGGGTTTGAAAATGAAGTCTTGTAGTGTCAAAATGGCTGATTTTGGTACTTGGGTTAATATTTAGAAAAAGTGGACTTTTGCCCTAAAATGACTATCACATCTATCTTGTATAAATAGTTGAAATTGGTGTTGTAAACATGGAATTGAGTGAGTATTGGAATGGATGGTGGAATTAAAAATGAAATGCCTCACATCCTTGGAAATTTTGATCAAATTATCTGTCTTGAGATTGTATATCAGTTTAGAAATATCTGTATTGGGCTATTGGTAAATGATAGCTTTGATTGTTGTAGAAATTGCATATGGATTAGGTGAATTGCAACTAGTTCATGGTTGAATATCATTCAATATGATCATGCTGTGAATACATTGTATATGTATGATTATTTGGGAGGAAAAAAGGGATGTACTCCATGTGTGATTATGTGTTTATATACATTGCATATGTATGATTGTTTGGGAGGAGAAAGGGGATGGATTCCATTATAATTAAGTTGGCCAGAGTGTCCTAGATGAAAGTCCCGAAATTTATATATGGGTGCCGATCCCGCGGACGAAATATCCGTAAAATGGTAATTGGGAGTGCTTGTGTGTTGAATGTAAAATTGTTGAACCATTTAGTTGTAGTCTCATTTGGACTGTTGAAAAATAATAAAGTTGGCTCATGTATTGAAATGTATAGAAGGGAAATGAAACGAAATATGGACTTGATAGTTTATGACTATATAAAACGTGAATGTTTTATCACTAGTATTGTACATGCACATTGCACTTATATTTTTGTTAAACCTTATATACTGTGTTAGATTGTTCCTACTGGGCTGTGGCTCATCCTAATTGGGAAAAACCATTTGTAGGAAATAATGGCATGCCTCCACCAAGGCAATAGCATTGGAGGGACTTCTTTTGGAAAGCAAGGGCTTCTATGTTTTGTTTCATTACTTGTATAGCCTAGGGCTTTAATTGTAAGAGGTAGTCTCATTTTGTTTTAACCAAGCTAAGACTTGGAAAGGTGTAAGCCAATAGGGTGTTTATTTATGTTAAACTTCTTTTGTATCATTAACTCTATGTAATGAAATGACTATTTACTCTGATGTATGTGGTGATTAACAAATGTTTTGGGTTGCATTTATTGTATTATTTTGAGGGCGTTACAATGGACGTAAACACTTTCATAACAAGCAGAAAAGCGCATTGTGCTGATGCGTTGGTACCAAGTACAAAGTACGCTACATAGCTTGCTGCCTACGCTATGCATGCATGCATGTGGTGAGAAAATCCATTCTTATTGTGCATGTGCATGCATACTAATATCCTTTCCACAATTCCATGGTCAAACGAATATTTCATGGATCATTTTATTAAGCAGCTCGGTGTTGAAAATAAGCTGGTGATCAATGATTGTGTTCATTATGATAGATTTGAGATTGTCGACGACATATCTAAAGATGGTGAGACGCTTTGGTAGGAAATGATGATAGATCTAGCGAGGGTAAATGGTAATAGAGATGACAATAAGAAATGGTGGTAAAGTCAATAACGATGTTGGCAACGATCTCCACAATAAAGAGAGGGCGAGAGAAGAGATCGTTAGAGAATGATAGAATCGATGAGTAAGCTGCCGACAATCTCCATTATAAGAGAGAGCCGAGAGAAAGAGATGGTCAGAAACATTTTTAGAGGATACTATAATGGATCTCTCAATTAAAACATTGCTATATATATATATATATATATGGAAGTACAAAATTATCCATAAAAAAATGTGAAAATAAAATTTATGTCTTTTACAAAAGAGAAACATGACATT